TAAAGATTCATCAAAATCTTTTATCTTTTGGTTTCATTGTATTGTATCTTAGTCTTTATGTAATTTATTTTGCTCTGAACTTTATTATTTCCTTCCTTCTACTTTGGAATTTTCTCCCTCTCATTTTAATTTTTTAAGTTGTAGTGTTAAATATTTTACTAAAATTTTTTCTTATTTTTTGAGGTAAGGCTGTTATGAACTTCCCTCTCAGAATTGTTTTTGCCCTGTCCCATAGCTTTTGGATTGTTGTGTGTTCATTTTCATTTTTTTGCAGGAAATTTTTGCTTTCTTCCTTGATTTCATTGGTAACCCATTTGTTGTTTAATAACATGGTATTTAGCCTCTCTGTATTTAAATATTTTTGAGTGTTTTTATTTTTGATATCTAATTTCATGCCACTGTGATCTGAGATGCTTGACATAATTTCAATCTTCTTGAATAGAGACTTGTTTTTTTACCTAAGATGTGATTATATTTTTGAGAATATCTCATGTGTTTTTGAGAAAAATATAATTCTGCAACTTTAGGTTGTAATATTTTGTAAGTGTCAATTAATTTAATCTGATCTAGTGTATCATCTAGTGTTTTCTTTTTGATATTTTTGTCTGGAATATCTATCCAGTGAAGTCAATGTGGTATTAAAGTCCCCTACTATAACTATATATTGCTGTAGATCTCTCTCTTAAAGTCCTTCAGAAGTATATATATATATATATATATATATATATATATATATATATGATATAAACACACACACACACATATATATATATATATTTAAGTGCTCTTATATTGGGTGCAAATATGTTCACCATGAATCTATCCTCTTATATCAATCCCTTTAGTATGATGTAGTGACTTCATTGTTTCTTGTTATGACCTACATTTTAAAATATTTTGCTAAATACTCATATTGCTACCCCAGATCTTTTTTCTATTGCATTTGAATGGACATTTGTTTTATCCATCCCTTCACTCTCATGCAATTTGATTCTTTTGTTCTCCAGTAGGTTTCTTGTAGACTGCACATATTTAGGTCATGTTTTCATATTCATTCAGCAACCTATGTTTTTGATTAGAGCATTTAATCCATTTTAATTTAAGGCAGTGGTTCTCAAACTTTCTAATTCCAAGACCCTTTAATACAGTTCCTCATGTTGTGGTGATCCCCAACCATAAAATTATTTTTGTTACTACTTCATAACTGTAATTTTGCTACTGTTAATGAATCATAATGTAAATATCTGTGTTTTTCGAGGATCTTAGGTGACCCTGCTAGAGGTTCTTAACCTATGAGATGGGGCATTAAAAAGGTTGAGAACAACTTCTCTAATCTGTTGTTTATTTCTTCCGGTGTAATATATATATATATATATATATATATATATATATATATATATATATATATCCCTTTACCCTTCCTCAAGAGATAGAGAGCTAGAAACATCCATGAGAGAGAAACATCAATCAGCTGCCTCCTGCACACCCTCTATTGGGGATGTGTCCACAACTGAGGTGCATGCCCTTGACCTGAATCAAACCTGGGATCCTTCAGTCCACAGGCTGACGCTCTATCCACTGAGCCAAACCAGTCAAGGCCAGTGTATTCTTTATTTCTGTGTCATTCTGAATTTCCAACTGGTCATTTTTCATAGTTTATATATATATATATCCTTAAGCTTTTGAGCATCCTAATTATCATTACTATGAACTCCATATTTGATAAATTGCTTATATACTTTTCATTGAGCTCTTCTTCTGGGAAATTCTCTTGATCTTTCATTTGGAGTTTGTTTCTTTGTCTCCCATTTTGGCTGCCTTTTTGGATTTGTTTCTCTGTATTAGGTATAACTGCTACAACTTCTAGTCTTCATACGGTGGCTTTATGCATTGGGTAACCTGTGGAATCCAATGGTGCAGTCTCCTTGTTCACCAGACCTGGGTGCTCTAATAATTCCTTTTGTGTTTGTTATGTGGGCCCTCCTGGTGTAATTAAGTCTTGATTGTTAATGGTTCATTCATGAGTGGGCTCAACTCTTAGGCTGGCTGACAGTGAGGCTGAACCCCCAACATAGTATGCATTTTGCTGTGCAGTTGCTTACCATTCCCCTCTGCGTGGTTTGGAGCCTACCAGTATCTCCCTGCATGGTTTGGAGCCTCCCAGTATCTTCTTGTGGAAGTTATTGGATCCTACTCTGCTGTCTAAAGTTGGCTATTGGGTTTACTAGTTTTGAGTTTCTTCAGGGGGTCTCTGGTGCAGACCAATGCCAGGCGCTGTTAGTGACTGTTGTCTGCTGGGGCTGGATGCATATTGAAAGGAGCAAGCTGTACACTGAAGTTTGCTTCTTTTGCCCATGGCCCAGAGCCACTGGAAGCAAAGACCCAAAGCACCGTGAGATCCTGCTCTTCCTGCCAGCTGACCGTTAATCTCAGGCAGTTAATGACCACAGGCTGCAGAGCTCCACTGGGCTTAACGTCCACAGGTTGGCACAGAGGAGTCCCCCATGGAGGGGCAATTTCTTTCCTTCAGGCAAAAGCTGCTTTGATGGAAAAGTTCTGCCTGATAAAGATGATTCCTGCCATATTGGGAATAACTCAGAACATGGATCCTGAAAGTTGTTCTCTCTGCTGTCTCCCACAGAGTTCATATAACTCTAGTATCCTCTACCATTCCAAATCCAGAGCCCAAGGTAAGTGGCTACAAATGAAATTCAGTGTGTTGTCCCTTTAATGGCATGTCTGCATATCTAGCCAATTGTCCCTGCCAGACAGGACTTCCATTGCTTTTCACAGTCAGATGTTATGTGAACACCTTTCTCAGTTTTGATGCTTTGGGCTGGGGAGCCTCCAAAATTTCAGCTGCTACCTATGAGAGCTCAGCCAGCCCTCTTATGCTTCCATACTTCCTACTAGTCTTGATGTGGTCTCCTCTTTATGTCTTTGGTTATAAGGGTTCTCTCCAGCTAATCTTTATTTGGTTATTCAGAATGTTTTTTCTATATTTTAGTTGAAATTCCAGCTTGGTACTGGGGAAATGTCAGTAAAGCTTCCACATATTTCATTGCCATCTTTCCTCTTTTGCTTAATTTTTTAAAAATCTCTGCTTATGCATTTAGAAAAAATGACATTCTTACTATAATTTTCTCTTCTGTGTATTCTGTTAGCATATGCAGAACTAACTCAAACATAACTTATTCTGTGGAGTCTTCAATGTCACCTACATAATATATTATTCTATTTTATTCTTCCTTACACAAACTCTGAATAAACATACTTGCAAAATGGAACACAGGTAATTACTAAAGCATTTGTTTCTACCTCTAAACACATGAAGCATGTGGACCATTTTGGAGAAATGTTTATACAATATGAGGGTACATAATTTCCCAAGGAATTTTAGCAGGGAGAGCACTGGGAAGTGGTGTTTAACATCCATTTTGACTAAGCACAAGATTTTTTTGTCTACAATACATTGGATATATTGAAGATTAGTGTCATATTATATTTTTCTAAAAATCTGCAAATTAGATCTTTTTAAATGAATTAGTCAGTATGGGATCACAATTTGTAGAAAATAACTCAAATTCACATTTTAGAGAGAGTGAATTTAAAAGTCTGTAAGTCCAAATAAATTCAATTAAAAATATAAAAAGTGAATAAAAAGTCTATTAGTCCTCTTTTGCATAGATTACTAAAATTTTAATAATTAAATTAAGGAAAAGTACCACTTTCTTAAGGCAATATTACATAGATTATAGTTATTTTATAATAATGGTTATTAAAGTATTTAAAAATAATTCCTTGCTTTATTGTTTACTTTCCATGGTGTCCAAAAGAAACATCCTTACATATCCATACCAGGTTTCTATAAAAGCCATAATAATTTCTGAAAGACTCTATATCATTCATAGAATGAATATTAAAATATACTCTTGTATTTATGACTATCCTGAATAAAAGGGAACATTATAAACTTCATACCAATTGTCAAAATTCACTTTAGTAATCCATTTTACTATATACATATAGATATGTGTATGCATGCATGTACACATATATTACTTTTTAGTGCCAAGTTTTCAAACTGAATGAGAAAGGGAGAGATATTAATATAGATTATTTAATACTTTTACTCTCCCATATGTCTTGAATTCTAGACATAAATCTATTTTACAAAATCTACATCATATACATCCACATTAAAGCAGAATTTATACAATGACATTTAGGAGACAAATGTCTCTAGTCCCTAGTTTTCAGAACACAGAAGAGATTTTGCGCATTTTTCTCCAGTCTATATTACCTCCCCACTACCTCCCAGGTTCTGTTTGTAAGATTGCCTGAATAGAAATGCTTAATTTTTCTTCTGAAAGACCGTTGTCATAGTCTATTTTCTGAGATAAGACTGTGCTTCCTGATCTCTCCAATTAAATTATGTTTAAGGAGAGTTGATTATATTTTCTGCCTTTAAAATTAACTTTAAAAAATATACCCAAGAAATTTAAGCACAGGGAATTTCAGCTGTGACAACTTAGTTTCTGGCAAAAACAAACAGGGTTTACTCCTTCTATAAATGAACTCAGCTGTAGTTTGACAAGATTCATCAGTGTTTAAAAAAACAAAAACACAACATCAACAAAAAACCCAGAATATTTTTTTCCTCAGCACACGGGACTGTTTTGGCTGCAGGCGGTTCTAGCACTTACTGCTGAGGGGCCTGTGAATCGGGGCCAGAGAGAGGCCTGAAGAGAGAAGCAGGGACTGATCCTCTGCCTCTGTGGCACTTGCCTCTCTTTCTATCCCAGTCTGGCCAATAGTCTTTCCTCTATTTCTCTCCAGGACTCCACTGGGACTGCTTATCAGCCCCGCCTTTCTGATCAGGCCCCATTGAAAGGCCCAGAAACACTGTCTGGTATAGAAACTGACCAATCAGAACCAAATCTGGGGGCTTAGGTGTTTTTGTCCAGGGAGAGCAGTCTATCCCGAGGCTGGCTCCAGCAATGGCCTTTATAAATCTACAGAAAGTGCTCGTCAGTGACAGCCTGGACCATTGCTGTCAGAAGATCCTGCAAGATGGAGGACTGCAGGTGGTGGAGAAGCAGAACCTGAGAAAAGAGAAGCTGATAGTCAAGCTGCAGGACTGCAAAGGCCTTCTCCTTTCCTCAGCCACCAAGGTGACCACGGATGTCATCAACGCAGCAGAGAAGCTCCGGGTGGTGCGCAGGGCCAGCACCAGCGTGGACAACGTGGACCTGGAGGCCGCCACAAGGAAGGGCATCCTGCTCACGAACACTCCCAATGGGAACAGCTTAGTGCTGTGGAGTTCACTTGTGGGATGATCATGTGTCTGGCCAGGTAGATTCCCCAGGCAACAGCTTCAATGAAGGATGGCAAATGGGACTGAAAGAAGTTCATGGGAACTGAGTTGAATGGAAAGACCCTGGGAATTCTTGGCCTGGGGAGGATCGGGAGAGAGGTGGCTATCCAAAATGCAGCCCTTTGGGATGAAGACTGTAGGGTACGACCCCATCATCTCACCAGAGGTCTCAGCCTCCTTCAGCATTCAGCAGCTGCCCCTGGAGGAGATCTGGCTCCTCTGTGACTTCACCACTGTGCATACCCCTCTCCTGCCCACCACGATAAACTTGCTGAAAGACAGCACCTTCACCCTGTGTAAGGGCATGTGCATGGTGAACTGCGCCTGTGGAGGGATTGTGGGTGAGGGTGCCCTGCGGGGCAGTGCACAGGTGTAGTGCTGGACTTGTTCATGGAGGAGCCAACTTGAGACCATGCCTTGGTGGACCACGAGAATATCATCAGCTTCCCCACCTGCATCAAGGAAGCCAAGAGCCACTATGGAGAGGAGATGGCTGTCCAGTTCGTGGACATGGTGAAGGGAAGAGCTCTCTCAGGGTTCGTGAATGCCCAGGCCCTTACCAGTGCCTTCTCTCCACACACCAAACCCTTTATTGGTCTGACATAAGCTCTGAGGACTCTGATGTGAGCCTGGGTAGGGTCCCTTAAAGGGACCATCCAGGTGGTGACGCAGGGCTTATCCCTGAAGAATGCCAGGAACTGCCTGAGCCCCACAGTCATTGTCAGCTTCCTCAAAAACTCTTCTAATCATGTGGATAGAAACTTGATGAACCCTAAGCTTCTGGTGAAAAAGGCCAGCCTCAATGTAACCACCTCCCATAACCCCACTGTTAGGGGAGAGCAAGGATGTGGGAAAGACTTCCTGAGTGTGGCCTGGCAGGTGCCCCCTACCAGGCTGTGGGCTTTGTTCAGGGCATCACACCTGTGCTGCAGGTACTCAATGGAGCTGCCTTCAGACCAGAAGTGCCTCTCCTCAGGGCTCAGCCCTCCAACCTTGCCGTGCTGTCTACCATGATTGGGCTCCTGGCAGAGGTAGGCATGCAGCTGCTGTCCTACCAGACCTCAGCGGTGTCTGATAGAGAGATCTGGCACATCATGGGCATCTTCTCCCTGATGCCAGCCTGGATGCCTGGAAGCAGTATGTGACCAAGGTCTTTCAGTTTCATTTCTGATCTTGAGTCTCCCCAGGACCAGCCTTGGGGGCTTTGTGATCAACATTGAGAGGTCACATTCCCAAGGCTGATACCACTTATGTGGTCTGACCCCTTTAATAACCACCTTCCAAAAAAAGAACCAAATCTGGGTCAACTGTGAGGAGTCAAGGGCTGCATAGGAGGAGGAGCTTTTGACACTGACTGACTGGCATAGAGACTGACCAATCAGAACCAAAAATAGGTCAACTGTGAGGAGACAATGGCTACAAAGGAGGCAGAACTTTTGACGCTGACTGATATGGAAATTGACCAATCAGAACCAAATTGGCTGGCAGAAGAGGGCAGTTGGGGGCAAGATAAGGCCTGCAGGGGAAGGCAGTTGGGGGCAACCAGTCTGGCAGGGGAGGGAAGTTTGGGGTGAGATAAGGCAGGCAGAGGCAGTTGGGGTAATCAGGCAGGCAGGCAAATGAGCAGTTAAGAGCCAGTGGTCCTAAATTGGGAGAGGAATATCCAACTGATGGTTTAGGCCTGATCCCACAGCAATCAGGCCTAAATTGGAAGTTGGACATCCCCCAAAGTGTCTCTGATTAGATAGGGTGAAGTTTGGGCTGAGGAACACCCCTCCCCTCCATGCATGAATTCCATGCACCAGGAAACTAGTACTATATAATAAAAGTGTAATATACAAATCGACCAAACAATGGAACATCTGGTCAATGGGGGGCAGGGTTTTGCCAGGCCAGCAAAGTCTCATGCCAGTGGGAAGAAGGAGGGGACGGGGATGGGATGGGGGGGGTGTGCAGCAGCAACCAGCGGCAGCTTCATGATGTGGGCTGGCGCCATCCCACAGAGGGAGACCACCAGTGGCCATAGTGCAATTTGGGGTGGGGCTGGCCACTTGCTGCCTGGACCATCCTGATCAACCCACTGGTTACCTCCTGCAGAGGGAGGCTAGACTGCACTTAGGTTTGCTCCCTGTTCCTCTAAGCTGTCAGTGGAACATCCCCCAAGGGGTCCCCAATTGGAGAGGGTGCAGGCTGAATTTTGTGCTCTGGGCCACTAAAATATATATATATATATATATATATATATATATATATATATATATATATATATATATATATATATATACTGTTTCCCTGAAAATAAGACATCCTCTGAAAATAAGACCTACTTACAGGTTTCCTTCTGAGTGAAATATAAGGCATCCCCCTGAAAATAAGCCCTCTCCAGGCTAAACATGAGAGATTTGGTCCACTGATTCTGAAAGAAATGGAGTCACAAGAAATTCACCAGGAAATTCAGGACTTGGGTTGTTATGATGATGTTCCAGAAGATGATGACATGATTGTCATTGAATAAATGAGTAAATTCTTGATATTGTAGGATTCACAGTTTGTCTGGTGTGTGTTGACAACTACCATACTACCATACCATATACAGGTAATAAATTTCCTTTATTTTCATTTAACAATAAATGTGTACCGTATTCTTCTTTATGGAAAAATAAGACATCCCCTGAAAATAAGACCTAGTGCATCTTTGGGAGCAAAAATTAATATAAGACACTGTCTTATTTTCGGGGAAACAGGATATATATATATATGCCAAGGGACCTGAACCACTGGAGCAACTGGAAGGACCAGAACAACCAGTGCCTATGACGCATAGTGCAGCTGTCCAACCAGTGCCTATGACGGGGCGCGGCAGGCTGGCCAACCTCCCACAGCCCCTCTCTCTGGCCATCCCAACCCCCAAACACCCCCACATCCTGATTTGGGGTTGGGCCAGCTAGCCAAACTCCTGCAGCCCCTCCCCCCAGCCAGCCCCACCCCAGATCATTCCCCATCCTAATCGGGGGTGGGGCCAGCTGGCCAACCTCCCTAGGGCTCCTTTCCCTGGCTAGCCAGCCTCTTTGGCCCTGATCAGTTGCGGCAGCCAGACCCCACCCATGCATGAATTCCTGCACTGGTTCTCTAGTATTATCATATTTCTGGAGCTCAGATGTTCACATTGATTCACTGTGCTAAAATCAAATTGGTAGGGCTGTGTTCTTTCTTGCAGTTTTCTTGCCTTTCTTAGTTTCTATAGAATGTCCTCAGTCCTTGGATTGTGTTTTTTTTCATCTTAAAAGCCTGTAAGCATTGGTTAATTGAGTCTTTCTCAAGATCCTGATCCTGTCTCTCAAGTTTTATATCTTTTGTCTCCCTATTCCCAGCTTATGGAACCTTAAAATTACATCAGTCTCACAGGACAATCCAGGATAATAAGTTGATTAGCAACCTCAATTTCATTTGCAAGGTGGAATTATCATACTTATGTAGTATAACATTCTCAGGTTCGGGAGATTTGAACATATACATCATTGGAGACCATTATTCTGCCTGTTATACTCAATATGTATTATATTGGGATATTTGAACCTGTTTGTATGTGTGTGTATAAAGTATCACCATAATTATAATGTAATAAGAAATTAAATTATTAATTTAATTAACTGCACCTTAGCTATTTTTGTTAATTAGTCTTAAGATTTAGAAAAGGTTACCTATATTAATCACTGACAGGTTGTTTTTCTTGGAAATGGCCATTTGGTCATTAAACTGCAGTGCTTCAATTATAGCTCCCTGCAGAACTGAGGAAGTGATGGTTGGTATGGGCCATTTACTTAGCATCTGAAGCTTGTGGTTTGCAGCCAAATAGAGGCTTATTCACACCCTCAGGCTCTTGAGAACAACACTGATCATAACTTAGTGATTTCAATACTTTACCTAGTTTCTCTAGTTTAATGAGTATAATATCATTAAGCCTTTATAAAAACTGATTACATTTGATAACAAACCTGTTATTATCTTGGGTCACTTGCTATATTTGCTTTCTATTTAATTTTTGTTTGCCTTATAAAAAAGGGAAATTAATTTTTTTCCCTGAAAGTTATTTAAGCAAGCATATGCTTATTTTATGTCCAAAATGTTGTATTTAAACTTGGTGAGAAGGAAGTTCAGTTCATTGATATACTTTGTACCAAAAATTTTAAAGTAAAAGGAAATACTCTTAAATATATTGGCAGTAACTAGAATCATGCTTAATTTTTGCTCCGTTTTAAAATAATGCCTTATAACTTATAGCTAACATAATTCACTAACCCTCAGCACCAATATCTATTATATTTATTATCAAGCAGGAACATTTTCTCTAATATATATATATATATATATATATATATATATATTTCTAAGGGTTTATTTTTTAAGGTTGAAGTCATTTCTTAGAAATAATGGCTTCAAAAGTAGACCTGAAAAATATAAAAATGTTACTTATAACGCACATAATTATTATATGGTAAAAAAAAAAAAAAAAAAAAAAAAAAAAAAAAAAGGATAGGAATTGTCAAAATTATTTCACCTGGGCTCAAGAATGGAAGTGCATAAATGAATTGAGAGGTATTTCTCAACATAAAAAAAAAATCACCTCCTCCTATGAAGACTTTCTAGACATACTGTTCTTAATCTCCCCTCTCCTTCCATGAAATTTTAATTTAAACAGATTTTCTGTATACTTGTTTGTATATGGTGGCCCTTTGCAGGGCCACAAACCATTATAATATCCAAGCTGCCGCCACCCTAAGAAACAAGTTTCACACCTTTGGAAATAGTATCACCCCCACTGAAAATACATAACATAGTGACAGCACTAGAGGTAAGCCCAGCTGGCTGTCATTCAAAACCCTACATTTATTTTACTGATGAAATCTGGACACAGAGAAGGAGATTGATTTGTCTAAAATGTTACATACTTATTAGATGTTA